GTTGGCCAATAGTCTCATGTTAGTCAATAGCTCCTGGGATTCTGGGGGCTGAAGTCCCTCGGCCCTTAAAGGGGAAAGGTTGCCTACCCCTGGTCTAAACAATGCACTCGGGTCTTGACACAATCAAGGAAGGAGGCTAGAGGACAAAGGGTGCAGTTAAACCTGATCACTGCCCCATTAGGTGTAAGACTCTTGACAAACAAGCACTATTGTGTTGTCCTTTAGGGTTGATGGTCTTTCCCCTTTAGCAACTCCCAAACCTGTCTGGTAGGGAAGTTTCTAGTTGTTTGGCAGGCCTCTTCCTTGTGCCTACCTGACTTACCATCTAGAGGCATATGGCTGACATCCCATAGAGGCCAGTTTGGGGTCAATGAGGGAACTCCATATGTCCCAAAATTTTATTAAAATCATATATGCTAAACTGTGGCAATCACATGCCACACCTCCAACCTAACATTTTCCCGGTCCAAAAGGAAGCAGCAGAAAGCCGCTCCTTTTGTGCCAAGAAAAAGGCACCTTTGCCAGCGCTCTGCAGAAATATCATGAAGCCAACACTGTTAGGTTTTGATGGGATATATAGTCAATGTTAAAATGTTGAAATGTAAAGATGTGTGTCTGTATTTTTCCTTGCTGAGAAAATGTTTTCTGAGGCTAGATTCATAACACTCAGCTCCAAGGTGTGTGTTAGTCTAAACAAAGCCAGTTAACAAGTTGAAATTCTGTGAGAATGAGGTTTATTTACATAAAGGGGTTTTCAATAACAAGGAATGTTTTGGGAACTGCAGTCACATGATGTAATATGGAAATTGGAGGTTGGGCTAACACACGTCATGTATCATCAACCAATCAGTCTGTGAAGGCTACACCCAAAGAGGTGGAGAGATGTGAGCTGAAAGTTGTGAATCTGAAAAGTTTCTCACTTGTCTTTAGCCTTTAAGCTGAAATGGACTAATTAAGATATTTTCCTGATGCTGAAGCTTGACTAACTATAAACATGTAGCAGTTAAAGTTTTTTTTTTGTTCCTGCTTAGCCATTTTGGCTAAAGTGAAAATGCTATTATTGTTATTATTATTATTTGTTTTTGCTCATGCTGATTTTTGCAATAAAAGAAAGGCTTGCATGAAGATCTGGATGTCTTGATGACTTGACTTCAAAGACTGTAAGCTGTATATTTACCATCAACACATTTTTTCAACAAACACATGTGAAGTCAGCCATGCAGTTTTCCTACTTCATGAGGGTATGCTGCTGCCTGAACACCATGCCACCACACCGTCAAGAAGCTGGCTCATTTTGTTGGTCTGTACCGGCCCTCAGTTACAATAGCACCTGCAACTGCAACCCATGATTCTCTATTGTATCATGCTATAATTTCCATAGTTCTTTGGAGCTTTGCCTTGACTGCTTTGCTTGCTAGTATTCCCACATGCTTTCCTAATTGTTTTGTTCCCAATTTCATCACTTATTGATGAACAAAAAGAAAATGAGCAGATTTATTTTCCTATATTTTGCCTTCCCTCCCTCCGTCCCTCCCTCCGTCCCTTCCTTCCAATCATTTTCCAAAAGTTATGGTGTGTGTCTTGGGCAGCAAAGCTTCAATGTGTCAATGTGCCAAACAATTTCTGTTACAACTGTTAAAAAAAAAAAAAAGGACAGAAGGAAGGAATATGAATAAAGTCCCAATGGCATGACTGCATTTTCTTTGGGGGCATGCAGGCTAAATGTGTGAAAAAATGGAATGATGCAAGCTATCCCCCCCCACCCCACCCCGTTATTTCATTGCTTTTCCATGTATGGGAACTACAATGCTATGCTTTTAAAAAAAGCAACTAGGTATATGGAGTGAAACTTCAGGCAACCATCCTTTCTTAATTTGCTAATGCAAACTAAGTCCAATGTTTGAACAAAACACATACACTCAGTGTTGTATAGTATATACTGCAATTGTTGTTGTGGTGGTGGTGGTGGTGGTGGTGTGCCTTCAAGTCATTTCTGACTTATGTCAACCCCTAGCATGCAGTTTTCTTTCCTAGATTTGATCAGAGGAGGTTTGCCATTGCCTTCCCCTTAGGCTAAGAGCATGTCGCTTGCCAAAGGTCATCCAATGGATTTTCTGACTGAGTGAAGAACTGAACGCTGGTCTCCAGAATCAAAGTCCAACACTCAACATAGCCCAGAGGACCTTCAAAGAACAGTGATGTCTGCAGTAAATGTTATATAACATTGAGTGTATGTGGGGGTTTTTAAATCCATTTAAACATTGGCCTTAAGTCACACTAGCAAATTAAAAAAGGATTGTTGTCTGGAGTTTCACTCATAAATCTAGTTGTTGATTTTTAAAGCCTAACATTGTAGTGAACAATGCTGCCACTTAGGAGTGCTCTATTATAGAATTCCACTGGTTACCCAGCTTCTCTAGCTAAGCACCAATAGAACCATTGGAAAAGCAAATCTGAACAAGACATAGAAAATCTGAATTGATATAGGGCTGGAACAGACTGGCAGGAAGGGGTGGCTTGAAGCCACCCCCACCGAAGATACCTTGGGTCTGCAGGAAACACATGCTACAGTGCGAAGACACCCTCTGCTGCCAACCCAAATAGGAGTGGAAAAGATTCTCTCCTATTTGGGCCAGGTTTTGGCAGCCTTAGATGGCCCTGGCATAATTTCCAGGTGCTCTGGCAGCAGACAGCATCTAAAGGCCATGCCCACAGAGCATCTTGAAACCACCCCTGTCTAATTGCCCAGCATAGCTTCTGGACATCTTGTGTGTGCGTGATGTTTAAATGCATCTCCCCCAAGCCATCTGGAAGTCAGCTTTTGTGACCTATCTGTTCTGACCCATAGTTTCTTGTTTTCTTACATGAGGCTTTCCAAACCTTATTTGCAGATTTTTAAACAGAGGATGAATTGACGTCTGTTGGGGGTGCTTTGATTGAGAGTTCCTGAATGGCAGGGTGTTGGACTGGATGACCAACTTTATGATTCTATGATTCTTTATATCTTTATGATTCTATGATTCTTTATATCTTTTAACTTTCTTCACCTTTGACTGCACAGTTGTCTACAGTTTTTGTCCTGTTTCTAATTATTCATTATTCCAAATGTTTGTTTTAGCTTTCTATTGCTTTCACTCCATTGCTAAATAAGTTTAGACTTTTAAAATGTTTTTAATGTATTTTGCCAAGAGCAATGTAATATTGCCATTCTTATAATCCTACACAGTCAGAGGTTTGTAATGTATAATGTTAAAATTTGCCAATAAGTAGCCAGCCTTGAATTAGACTTGATAAAATATGTGAGAAAAAAGGTTCCCTCTTACTTAGCCAAATTGACAACTACTGCGTAATCTGAGACTATCTGGAGATGCAAGCCAATGTTTGATTCTGAAAGTCAGAGACAGAGGGGGGTTGCAGACTGCCAAAAATAGTGCAAATTGAGTTCACTTTTAGGGTTAGGGTTAGGGAATCATGGGAACTGTAGTTTATTGTGGCACCAGAGCTCTCTGACAGAAAAGGCTCAATGTCTCAGAAAAAAAAAAACAATTCCCATGATTCCCTAGCACTAACCCTAACCCTAAAAGTGGACTCAATTTGCACTATTTTTGGCAGTCTGCAACCCCCCTAATTGTTTTTGAAATAATGCCTAGTGATCTATACATTCATGCAGTTTAAGGGTTTGCCCTATTAAATCTAAAATATTGCTTTGGTTGGCATCCCGTTAGTGTAAATTTTTTACTGAGTACAATCACTTTGGCTCATAGAAACATTTGTCTATTCATTCTGAAGTTTGTTCCTATTCCTCTGCCTGTTGCATTACAGGTCAATCCACCCTAATCCATTGTGACCCTTCTTACACTTTTGCTGTATTAAAGCCCTTACACATTGGGCCACAATTTCAACACAGAATTGTATTTATTTTATGTTGATTTTTATACCCAGATTAAGACATAACTTTCAATTGGTAGGCCACAAATCTCATCAGAATGTTTTCACGGTAAAAGGTTTCAGGAGTACTTCTGTCCAATGCTAACAAGAGTTACATATGGTGGGACTGCCAATGTTTCTTGAAAAATCATCTATCAGTGCCATCCCCACTTCTATTGCTGCTCAGTATCTGTTTGGCACATTTAGCCTCATCCCTCAGCAAAAGCTTGTCTGATATGGGAAATTCTACTAGCAGCAGTGCCACCACCAACATAGTCTCTTGCCTCACAGGAGCACACAGTGATGAAATATCATGAACTGCCTAAAAGACAAATAAATGATTTCAAGTGCAAATCAATCCTGAACTCTCTCTAAGAGCCAAAATGATTAAATGAAGGCTGTCAACATGATGAGAAAAGACAATACTGCTTGGTAAAGTGGAAGGCAGTAGGAAAAGAGGAACTGTGGGATGTAATTTTAGTTTCCCAGGGCATTAATGCAAATATGAAAGTTAAACTTGTTAGAGTCCAACTTTCATTGGCAGTACAATAGAAGAGTGGGTCAGACTATGGCTTTAAATCTGTCTTCCTAAATAATAAAACCTAGCTCAAAAAATGACAAACATGTAGTTTGTGGTTTAAAAACAAATAATAATGGCTTTAATAAATATTTACATAAAATAACTAAAACTTAATCTTAATGGTTTGGGTAAAGAGAGATAAATCTCACCATCTTTTAGATAGCAGGAGAAACTACAAATACTGACTGCTGTTACTAGCAGTTTCGAATCTTGGGAGAGGGCTGTTAAACTGTCTCCAAGAGTCAGTGACCTAAGTCACATGATAATTAGAATAAGAGAGGGAGGAAGCTATCTAAGAAGGAAAGGAGAATGCAAACATATTCCAACAGGAACACATTATAGGTAGATAGTCTCAATCAAGGAAGCCATGACGCTGGATCTGCAAAACCTGAACAAGGCTATTGATAACAGGATGACTTGGATTAAATGAAGGCTGTCAACATGATGAGAAAAGGCTGTCAACATGATCCTCCAAGGTTGGCATTATGTCATAGCTAGTGTGGTGCACTGGTCTGATCTTTGGACTACAATTCTGGAGATCAGGGTTCGATTCCCCGCTCAACCATGACAGCACACTGAGTGACACTGAGTCATATTCTCAGCACTAGAAAACTCTATGATAGGTTCACTTTCAGAAATGATCTGAACGCACACAACAAGAAGTCAAAATCAACTTGACAGTACTTAATAATAACAACAACAACAATGTTCACAGCCAAATGATTTTTAGTTTTCTGCTCAACCAGTGTCATTGCACTTGCATTTCATTATAACAAGAGTGATTTCTGTTCTTACTCTGTGTTTTATCTGAACACATTCAAAATGCAAAGACACAGTATCCTATTTTTAATTATTTGTAGTATATGACCTCTTGCAGGACAGTACAAAGAGGCAAGAGCTCTCACAACAGAACTCCTTGGTTATTGCTGGTTGGTGCTATCCCCCCCCCCCATTTGGAGGGGGTTATTTTTGGCAGTCCATGAAATCCTTCCAGAGTTCTGGGGCCAGAAAAAATGTCAGACATACTGCCTAATAAAGACCACCCTAATCTTTGTTACTTGGAGATGTGGTAGAAATTCAGTTCCAAACAGAAAAGCTGTAACTATAGCTCACTACCCACATACCCTATAACGAGTTAGTCTCTATTCTATAAAGCCAAACCACATGGTGTACATACATACCAGAAACTATTCAAAGCACTTCTGGCATAGAAATATACTTCAGAAGCAACCACTACATTTGCATATGTTTTTTATGGAAGTGCTGTAAGACCATTTTACACACAGAGGCTTTTGGTGGCTGGTATTAAGCTGGTTCGGGGGTGGAATTTTAATATTTGTTAGGTTTTATTATATTTAATTTTATTATATTTAATTTAACAGCTTCGAGAGGATATCCATTCGCCTTGTAAACAGCTTATTCTTACTCCTCTTTAAAGGCCACCAAGGAGACTAGTCCCTGAAGCCAAAGTCAGTTTTTTTTTTTTTAATGAGCAGGAGGAAATTATAATGAAAAGCCTTGTGCATTTTAAGCTACAGTACATCAAGCTCTCAAAAACAATAGTCAAATTCCTAATCTCCTTCACCCACCAAAATGCAAATGGTACAATTACATTATTGCAGTAAATTGGCAAGAATGCAGGGAAATTAGAGCTGAAAAATCTACCGGTTATACATTCCAGTAAATTATCTCATTTACATTTTTTTTAAAAAAATTAAGAAATATTAAACTATTAAACAGAGGTGTGAAAGAATTCTAATAAGCTTCACTTCATTCTGTCTTTTTCAATAACATTACTTTGGTAAAATAACTGTCAAGTTCACAAGTGATCTAGACAGAGGATATTTGTAAGAGATAAGAACAGAAATGTCACAGATTAGAGTCATTAGAATCAGAATTTTAAATGTAATACAGCAATGCGAACAAATGAGAGTCTATAATTATAGAATGTTAGATTATTTATTCATGTGCATTTATCAGGATGTCACTAACAGGCCAATTCTGTGTTTGGCTTATGTCAGAAGAAAGGCTGTAAACAATTCGTGGGCTCACATGCCACCTATATGCACCTCCGACCATGGTCACCAAACTTCCCTTGTTTAGAGGGGGTTTGCCTTTTCCTTTCTCTGGGGCTGAGAGAGTGTGACTTGCCCATGGTCACCTGATGGGTTTTCATGGGTGAGTGGAGATTCAGACCCTACAATCCAGAGTTGTAGGTCAATGCTCGCACCACTACGCCATGCTGGATTATCCATAAATATATTTATGGAATATTAAATGTCACTTTAAAAATGGAAATATTAGATATAATTTTATGTATAAAATGTTTTTTCTTGGCTGACTCAGATGAATTGTTCTCATGATTAAAACAAAAGGTATGAAAGTAAATTTTGGGGACAAACAATTCCTCCATCTTTTCTGATTTTGTTAAGTTTTCCCTAATTGTTTATTCCCCAATTTTCACTTCTTCTTATACCTTTAAACATATGTACCAACTTGAACAGTGATTATTGTTTATCTGGAATCACATCATTGCACAGATGAAAGTAGACATTTGATTACAATGATGAACCTGTTGTAGGACTCAAGTCTTAGATATCAACTTTTAAATCAATTTTGCAGAAAGAAAGCAATGCAGACTTGGAAAGGAAAGTTCATATTGGAGATCTTAAGCCTTTCCCAATAGATCTTTCCAAAACGTTATTCAATTATTTAATACTATCTGGTGAAGCAGTTTTCTTATTGCACTTGTTGATTCTAGAATAACTTAATGTGACCCTAACACCAAGTTAAAGAAGGTACTTAGCAGTTTACAGACTCAGTAATTAGTGGCTATTCTTATCAATGAAAAAAAAATTAGAGAGACTACTTCTTTCCATCTAACGGGAACTTCACATAAGCCTGTATAAGCCTCCAGGCTGCATAACTGGTGCATTAGAGCTGAAAATGAGATGGAGGATATATATAATACTGCCCAGGTAATCCTGCCTAAAGTTGAAATGGCTGTGGAGGCTTCTAACATTCAGAAAAGTTATTACCTTTAAAATTTATTTTTCTTAAAAGCTACTGGAAGCTTGATAAAATTACTTTTTCCTTTTCTGAATACTTTTAAATATTAACAAAATAAATATATAGGTAGATTTTACACAACTGAAATTATCCCAGATTGAAGAAGTCTAGGCTTAGCATAACTCAGTTTGTACAAGAGTAACTCTTCAGAGAAGTGAATGGGTATCCAGGTCTTGTTGACTGTCCTATCCTGTTGTAGCCAATCCTATTAGTGTTGCCCCAGATCTCTGGCCCTTCTGGCTGCAAATGTTAGGAAATGTATTCCAACATCAATCTGGTATGCTAGTGATGGGAAAGTCTGGTTAAAATGACCTTGTTTTCATCTTAATTTGAATGTTTTCAGCTCCAATTCACAATACAATTAGAGTTAATTCTCTAATGCTCTGAAATTCTCTTAATCCTAAATTTATTTTCATGCACGGGAGTTCTAAATTACATAGTCCCATCAAAGTGGATTGATCCACCCTCATGCAAGCATTCCACAAGTGCATCTTATGTTGCCATTTTACACTTAACATAAATTAAGATGGAGAAGTCTTAATGCAGCCATTCCACAAGTGGGATTCTTACATTAGGAATCTTACATTGTGCTATGTATGCACAATTTGACACAGCTTTCACTTCCTTCAGCTCATCTGCATCTTTCTTTCCTGTGCTTTACCAATATAAATGTACATGTTGATAAAATACTACAGAAAACCATCTTGTTACCTGAAATTTACTGCAAAGGAATGCAGACCTCCCCTTTCTTACATATTTGAATGATCAAAGTTTGGAATATTATTATTACAAAGTAATCAGTTGCTCATTTTTAACAGAAGTTTTGCTCTGTTTTTTAATCCACACTTCAATGGAAATATCCAAAATTCTGAACCTTGATCTCCAAAAAGTTTCAACACCTTGGATAGGTCATCACTGTGCCTCTCTGGTTGCTTGCTTGCTTCCTCAGAGGCCTTTCCCAATAGTGTTATTTGTGACAAAGTGGGAGAAGATGACATGGGGGGGGGGATAACCAACCAAACACTGAAGTGAAAAATAGAACCACTTCTACTGGGTCACCTACTCAAGGAAGGGAGAAACCAAAGGTGAAAAGGCCAGGGTAGTGCCACTATAACCCTTAGAGCATCTGCTAGCTGAGGTTGCAGAGGTACTCCAATGTGTCCCACGTTACCTCTGTATAAGTCAGAACATTATTAATAATCACTGCTCCAAGAATGTCCAAGCCAACAGGGCTAGAGGATTCTGGAAGCTGGATCCAAAAGAGTAATGTTTCCACATTCTTTCAAAGATCATTTCAGAACAAATTCAATGATAACTTGTGCTCCTGCTTCCACAATTTCTGCTGACACTGATGTGTTCATATCAAAACAGGAAAATGGATAGAATGAGATCCTTCTATTATTTCTTTTCCTGCATGCAACATTCACTCAATTCTGCCTGGGCAATTGCCAAAGGTGTTAAAGTGCTCAGATCGCATCATATTATTTCCTATATGAGCTAGATTTTATTTTCATAAAGTCATGGCTTTGTCTTCAGGCAATTTGCTGTTGAACCATGATGAAAGTTATTGACATTTTTTAAAACAACAACAATACAACACCTAGGGTTAAACAAATTCATTTTGCCTTGCCTGTTTGGTGGGTGACTAGAGATCAAATTTGCTTTAGTCATAATGGGCTTAGAAAGGGCTTATGAAATAGGTGAGGAAATGGAAAAGCTTTAAGCAGTGATGACTTGAAGATCAAGAGATAAACTGAGAGCTTGTTAGACAGTGATTGAGGTAATATGTTCTATGGGGATTTATTCGTTGGCATATATACCTCAGAAGTAAAAATGAATGGTGATATAGCACCTGCTGTGTACAAATCTGTGCTTCACACTGTCACAAAATGTCAGTGCAGTCTAGTCTAGTTTATCTGTACAAGCAAACAAAATAGTAGACTTGTACAAATTGGATTATTTCATTTCTAAGAACAGTGATAAAAGAGGTTTGGGGTTTCAGATAAAGGACCTTTCTAAATTGTTTCACTGCACATGGAATGAACAGACATGATGAAGTTTGGAAGGGATCTCTTTCTAACAGCAAAGTGTTTGTTGTACAATGATAGTTTCACAACCTGCTATTCTGGGGTGAGATCAGGCATCTTTTCTCCCTCACCCAATTGAACTGTCCTCACTGAAATATAAACAAATAACTATTTCTGTGCCTTTAAAACAGGCGTGGGAAGCTATGGAGAACCTCCCTTTTCTATCTTCCAGACCTCTATGGGAGCATATAAGTGGTTTTTGATGAAATTAAAAAAAATGGTTAAATGTAGTTGGTTGACCCAAGCATAGGAGAATTGAAATAAACTGTGGAATGGTTAAGTGAAATATATGTAAATCCCATTGATTCAGTGAGCCTACTCTAGTATGACTAGCAATTTAGTTAGGTCCAGAAAGAAGGATTTTTCAGGTTTAGAGACCTTTTTTTCTTTAAAAGTGAGGCTTAAAACA